AGCAGCTGGAGGGGGGCACCGGCCTCCAGGGCTTCTATGTGTGCCCAGGTACCAGCAGCTGGGGACACTGGGATGCAGGGGCAGCTACTGGGCAGACTGCATGTCTGAGCCCGGCTGCTGGAGGGACCCTCAGTGTACATCTGTTTCTACATATAAGTGCCACTGACAGACCCTCAGTCGGGCAGAGAGGGGCCCAGGGTGAGGCCCTGGGTGCTGCCTGTGGGAGTGTGCCTGCACGTGCAGGTCTGTGCGCCCCGCTGTCGGTGCACATACAGAGCCAGGTGGACGTGTGTGTGTGTGTGGAAATGTTGTACACTTGTGTCTGTGTGGGTGTGCTTGTTGGGAATACAGGCTGAACTTACTGGCTGGGCCAGGGAGCATGGAGCTGCAGCAGGTTGACCTCTGCTGGGCTATCAGGTTTGGCTCCACTGAGCAAAAGCAATAAAAAATACTGACCCAGTGAGATGTAAGGCTCAGTGTCACCTTGTAATTGTCAAGAGGCTTGAAGAACACAGATATCTCCCTTTAATCTGCTCTTGTGAGACCCCACCTCGAATACTGTGTCCAGTTCTGGTGTCCCCACCTTAAAAAGGACATAGATCTGTTGGAACAAGTCCAGAGGAGGGCCACAAAGCTGATCCAGGGGCTGGAGCATCTCTGCTATGAGGATAGGCTGAGGGCACTGGGATTGTTCAGCCTGGAGAAGACTCCAGGGGGACCTTATAACTGCCTTTCAATACCTGAAGGGAACCTACAGGAAGACTGGAGAGGGACTTTTCACAAGAGTGTGCAGTGACAGGACAAGGGGAAATGGTTTAAACTGAAGGAGAGTAGGTTCAAGGGCAGGTTGGATGAGGCCTTGAGCAACCTGGTCTAGTTGAGAGATGGCCCTGCCCATGGCAGGGAGGTTGGATTAGATGATCTCTAGGATTCCTTCTAACTTAAGCCATTCTGTGATTCTATGATAGCCTGTGCTATATCTGAACTGGAGCACCCCATGGGAAGGCTGGAACACCTCTGACACCATCTGCAGTGCTGCACACAGAGGCAGGTTGTCAGTGCTGGGCTGCCTTCTCCATGCAAGCATGGGTGCCTCACAGCACGTAAGCACGGCCAGGTTTCCCCTTCCCAGCTAGGTCACTCCAGAGCTGGTGCCCGGTTCTCCAGTACAGCAGTATTTCAGCTGGTCATTTCAAAGCTGTTCTCAAAATTCAGGCTAGATGTAATTATGTATCTTTCTGAAATTATACAGCTGAAGAAGAAAGTCAGGAGACAATATGTGCATTACAGTTGAAAAAGATGGGGAAGAAACTCCTTGAGGAAGCAACAAACCACTGGAGAGCTATCACTGCCAGTTGAACACACACAGTGTTTTCCTGCCTGCTTTACAAGAAGGTAAAGTTGCTCAAAGCAAGCCAGACCACTTTTTTTTGGTCCTTACCATGTGTCCTTCCCTTGCAGCAATGTAGCACACGCGGCCTCCGCTGAAGAAGGTGCCGTTGGATGAACCGAAGGTGGACATGGCTACTGACAGGGAGATGAGCCATGCCCAACTGCCCAGGACTTTGGCCCTGAGGTGGGAGAGAGGGCACAGTACAACACGCAGCATTACATGGCAGGGCTGTAAAAGCTGGCACAACAGGCATAAAAAACCCTTTTCTGTGTGAATCCTGGAGATACTGCTACTGCAGCCAACACTACAAGCTTGGAAACTGCAGAAGAACTGTTCCCACCAGACCTGAAGAAACATCCTGCATTATAAACTCTTCCACAATACACAGAAGAATTTAACCCTTTAATCCCACGTGCACGTATTCCTGCTACTCTATGAATCAGCCTTAAGGCAAAGAAATTTTTTGAATTCCAGGAGTTTGGTTCTACAACATGTTCAGATATTTATGGTTTGCTTTCTCCATAACAGAATTACAAGCAGAGTTTGAAGTAAATATTTGGAAGACAGGATAAACTTCTCACCTAAAAGTGAAGCTTGTCTTCCAGAATGATGCAGCATGGAGAATAGTAATTAATAAATGCTACTGTTTGGGGTAATTATTGCATACATGTGCACACATACACAATCAAACACACTGTTCATCTAATAGGTAAAATACAAAATTCAAAAGTTTTTTAGAACACTTTGTATTTCCACCTGAATGGTATGTCTTTAAGACATATGTACTCTTTTTTAGTTTCACCTATCCCAAGCATTCAAAAATCAAGACTTGCACTTTGCAAAATCATGATAGGTGCTTATCTACAACAACAATTTTAGAAATGTAAGTTAGGAGCTTAGTATCTGGGTTATGGTCCTTCAGGCTTGAAGTTACTAAGCTACTTTCAATAACCAGAACTATTTTTTCCCCCTTTTTCAAAATGATGGGATCTGGGCATCTGCAATGATTGCACAACTCCATGACCACAAAATCTCAAGGGAAAACATGTGTCACAAAATTACTAACAAAATCTGTAGAAATCACACATTTTGAATTTAAGAGACTGGTGCTTTGCTGTTTGAACCCTGAAGATGAACTAGAGGAGCTATTGCCAGTGACTGCTTACAAGCAAACTGAGATGTGCAATTGCTGTTAAATCACTGGCATCAAAGAAATGCTGGGGAGAGTTTCATGAGCTCCTTCTGTGGCTGCACATCTCACCATTGAACAATGTTTCTCTGTGGCAGTTTTCTTCTTATATGGTGAATAAATGCATTTATGTGTGGTATATCCCTCTCTTGCTTCTCTGTAGCCCTCCCATCCCTTCTTAATGACCTGAATAGCTGGATCTCTTGCTCCTGAACCACAGCCATCACACCCTCCTCAGTCTCTGGCTATCTACCTGTCCTCCAGGATTTTGAGTGCTCAGCTTTCCGGTTCCTAGTTCAGTTTTAATTCCTGAATTGCACTCCCAGGGTGAAAAGGTTAATCGGGCAGGAAAAGGAGATGTGTTAAAAAGGAGGAAGCTCACAAATAACTTGTTAATCAGGAATGATGGGAAAGGAAGTGCAGAGAAAGTTCATGACACTGCAGCTTAGTGAGGCTTTGTAACCTGTTCAAACAAAGCACTAGGCCTTTAAAAGCTCCCACTTACAATGACATGAAAAGCTGTTAGAGAACACATCTAGCAAGAGCCCAGTCAGATCTTCAAACTGGAGACCTTGTGAACTGCACACAGAAGCAAAGCTGCTGCTGACTTTTTAGAAAGAGGATGATCTCTGGATATACAGAAATGTGTCATCGTTTCTGACAGATGACTCATTTAGTGCTATCATGGATTCTCTGTCTTTGGAAATATTTAGACTAAGGCTGGACATTCTGGTGGAAGACCATCTGGTTAGCAGACAACAGTACCCACATCTCTCACGATGATTCCTTGCCTCTCTTCCTAAAATCCTGGTCTTACACAGAGCTTCTTTAATATCACCAAACACCTCAGATTGATGGAAGGTACAAATCGTTCCTGTGCAACCCTCAGAAAGCACAACATGACTTAAAGATACAATTACCAAAGGTTACCCAACCCACATACAACACTTCTACTTCTCAAAGGTATTGAGGAGATCAATATTATTCTCCATTTCCCTGCAGATGAAGAAATGGAAACAAAAGAGTCTGGTCTGGTCTAATTTCCAGGTGCCAAGCAGACAGGATCCACCCATTTGGCTCCTGTCTCACTCCCACTGCCTCTGCGTTACTGGAGCAGCACGTTGTCCTCTCCACTTTTCTGGAAATATCTAAAATGTGGTGCATTCCCCAGGTCTGGACATGCACAGTTGCTGCATCCTCAATGTTTGTAGGGAGATGCTTCTGCTGTGCACTTCACCCCCTCTTTATGGCCACTTTCTGTGGGGAAAAACATGAGCAGGAGGGGAGCCACAGGTTCCCAGTGGGAATGCATGGGAATCAGGAGTGCTGCAGAGCATTCCATCTTGTCAGCCTTGGAGATAGGTGCACCTTGGAGAGACCATAGACCAAATAGGGATGGTCAGCCTTGGTCTTTGGTGGGGGAAGGCTATACACTGCCCTGAAGGTGACAGAGAGGGGAGCCACAGGTTCCCAGTGGGAATGCATGGGAATCAGGAGTGCTGCAGAGCACTCCGTCTTGTCAGCCTTGGAGATAGGTGCACCTTGGAGAGACCATAGACCAAATAGGATAGTGACAGAGGGAAGAATTGGCAGCATGCTTCCCTACAGCATGGCCTGACAGGTCATGTCATGTCACATCATGTCAGCAGTGCAGTGCTACCATTCCCACTGGGAATAGAACCTAAATCTCCTGAAACTCATGATGAGACCCCATATGTCACTGGACTGCACTGGCTGTGCTGGCACATGCAGAGCTCACCCCCAGGTGACAGCCACAGCTCCTGAAGACAGCAGTTCAGGGGGAGTCATGGCTGCCAAGTAGCTCACGTTTACCAGCAAATACAGGCACGTTACCAAAGGAATGGCAATCATCACAGCACGGGGAAGGGTCACCTGGAAAAGGGATGACAAGAGTGTCAGGTACAGCACATTTATGCCCACATTGGACTTTTTTTGTTTGTTATGTCTTTGCCACCACCCACGTATCTCATTCAAACTCTTTTGCTCACTAAGCTCTTCCACAGAATGAGACCATGGCAGATACACGACAAAGACCAAACAGACAGAGGCTTGTTGGCCATTAAAACTTGATTATTTTGCTTCAGGCCCTTACCTTGTCTTTTCCCTGTGCTGCCCCAACTAATTAGAATGACCGCAGTTCAGATTCGACCAGGGTATAAATGGAACCCCACCAGAGTGCCAGTTGGAGTCAGTCCCCTTGGAACAAGTGGTTTGCAGTCAGGGACCTTCCCCTTGGATCAGGGACCACCCCAAGGAAGCCTTCTGGGATTGAGCTAGCCCTCACCCCAGCTTTGCTGAGTGAATAATCCTGGATATAGTCTGAGTGAGCCCTTGCTTCTGGTGGGTGAGTGATCCTCCTTCTTGGTACCCTTGAGTGGGACCTTTTCTGTGAGTGAGGATATGCACATTTGGGGTCATCTTTCTAAAAATGAACTTTCACAGAACTTAGGAACTGCTTGCATTGTATTATGTTTTCATCTGACATCCAACTTGTAATTTACTTTGGTATGTCAGAGTGCTGGGTAACTTTTGGTTGGAATAAATCTGCATTTTAGGTAGCTACTGCTGTCTATTTTGTGTCTGCCTCCATGACAAAGGACAAAGACTTAGATCCAGATTCACATGGCAGTTTTTATACCAGTCTCCCAAAGATGTCAGGCAAAAAGTTAGTCTTAAAAAAAAAGCAAGCCACAAACAACAAAAAACCCCAAATCTTATTTTAAAAGATTTTGGTTCATAGCAGCCCAAGATGTCTGTTGCATACTTCTTGATTATTTTAATATTGATTTATTTGTTACTAGTGTGTTATGCCTCCTGGTGTGCTGCATCTTCCTATGAATACCCCTTTGACAATGATGAAGTACCAGTGTGTGTTGCAACACATTTAACTCTTCTACAGGCTAAAACAAAGCAGAGCAGCACAAAGGAGATTTACTCCAGAAAGGATTTTGTTGGTTAATTTTTCCTAGTGACAGGTTGCTGTCGTGCAACACCACAGGTCGTTTTAATGCTCATCAGAATCAACAAACATGATCATACACCTCAGAAAAAAAAAAACTACCCTGGAAAAAAGCAACTAGTAGGGTGATCATAGAGCAGCTCTATACATCTGAAAACCTGAAATAGCAATTTCTGCATTCCCCATTCCCATCACAGGACAAGGTTATAGCAAGTCCTCATGTTGTTGCCTCTGCTCTGCAAGGGTCTGAATATCAGCGCTCGCAGTCCAGTGGCAAAGAGTCCCACATGACCCCAGGATCTTGGCTGCCATTTGGGTTAATATTTAACCACGTATTTTCACTTAAGCTGTAAAATCTTGTGTGCTGCACGGGTAGAAAACACACTCTATGAACTCTGTAGTCACACAGCTCCTTCTAAAAAAGGGTCGTTCGCTGCTGTAGCGTCTGCTCTGTGAAAAGAGGTAATGTGGCACAGAGGGCTGGCGTGGGATGCAAGGGAGCTACTTCTGTGCCTATAGCATAAACAGAACAATGCTTAAGAAGGAGATATTTAAAGACAAGGCTCATTCAGAGAGTTAGATTCCCCCTCCAGTGAGGCTTGGCTTCTCTGAAGTTCCCCCTCCATGCGATGAGGACAGATCAGTGGGGGTTTGGTGCATATATTATGGATCAAGTCTTTTAGGGAATATGTGGTGTTAAGAAACCTTTATGGATTATAGCAAGGAGTGCTTTTCTGCATAAATCTAGGGTCTGCAGTGGGATCCTCTAAACACTAAGACAAAACAGCATCCGCAAAGCATCCAAGTGTTGCATAAGAGCTTTTTTTCCAGTCAGTAGGATATTTTAGTGCTTTCTTGTAGACAGACTGTTATTTTGCTTAGACACTCATTTTTATCCTTTCTGGACACATCTACAGGTGTCTTTCCCCAGAAGTCAGAACAAACCACAAGGAAAGCTCAGTAGCCTTCTCTTGATATTCTAAACCCTTGGTTATCCCTCGTAAAAAACAACAACAGATAGAATCAAACATATAAGCAACAGGATTAAGTAAAAGCCAGCTCACTCACTCACCTCAGGCTTCTTCAGTTCCTCAGTTACATAGTTCAGGTTGTTCCACCCATCATAGGACCAGAGTCCCTGGTAAAATGCCACTCCAACTGCCCCAATACCTGCACTCGTGTTTTGAAAGGCATTTTGAAAACTCTGAGTTTGTCCCTTGGCTAGCAGAACCAATCCACCCACCACGATCACCAACAAAGCCAAGAGTTTGGCAGCTGTAAAAATGTTCATAACAGACGTCGCCAGCCTCACGTTGAGGCAGTTGATGATAGTCAGAAGCAGGATGCAGGCAGAAGCTGTACATTTAATGACAACCTGCGGAGATGCGCATCCTGGGTAGAACGGCGCAACAGCGTATTCAGCAAAGCTCAGACAGACAGCTGCCAAACCAGCTGGTCTCACCAGGATAACAGAAGTGTAGGCAAAAAGGAAAGCAGGAAAAGAACCAAAAATCCTCAAGATGTAAATATATTCTCCTCCAGACTCTTTAATTATGGTTCCAAGCTCCGCGTACGACAAGGCTCCAAACATGGCCAGGAGACCGCATGCTGCCCAGATCAGGAGGCTGCTGGCAGGGCTGCCCATATGATGGAGGACCCACTGAGGGGACATAAAGATCCCTGAGCCTATCATGGTGCCTGCAATCAATGACACTCCGCTCAGCAGGCCGACCTCTTGCTTCAGTCTTAATTTCTCTTCCCCTTCACTCCAATCTGTGGATGGAGCCGATGAATCTGTTGCCTTTCTTTTTCTCATTGTGGAAATGTTAGGTGACGATGTTGTCAGGAGATAATATGGAACTAGACTGAGGCATTTGAATAAGAACTACCCCCAGCTTTTAAGGTTAAGTTAATAATTACAAAAGTCTCCCTGAACAATGTCAAGAAATACAAATGTATCTTCCGCGTTTAGCAGTCCTTCATTACCCACCTTATCTTGAGAATTTATCAGGGTTCAGGTTCTGCCAAGGCTGATTATCTTTGAGTGTCATTGTAAGCAATGGTAATGGATAGCATTCAGCACCACCTCAGAATCACTCAGCACCTTACTGGACTGTGTCCCTGATTACCTATCCTTTAAATTATGCTTCACGCGGCATCTAAAATAAGGACCAGGTAAGAAAAAAACCCCCTGCAAATCTCTACTTTATTCTTTGACTGAATTTAATGCTCAAGCACCTGCTTTAGTGGTCAATCGTATTTTCATTCCCCACTATGAAGAGATCAAACAAACAAGCCTGTCACCTAACATGGCTTTGCTCAACAAGGAACATTTCCAGTGTCTTAATCCAAGTCATAGAAACATTCTGCTAAAAATAGTCCAGAGACCGTTTTTCTGCACAAAAGTAGGGGGTAATTCTGGCTTTTTTAAATTTTAGAAAGTGCAGGAGGAGAAGAGTGAAAAGACAATACATTTTCATGGACCTTTTTGCCAGTGTACATGAGGTTTGCACATTCTTACCAGACCATGATCTTCAGAGGACTTTGTCATCATACACACGTGTCAGTGCACACCCAAGGGAAACAGAGCACAAGCTTTGGGAAATGCCATTGACCCTCCTTAGATATCTAATGTGAAATATCAGACTTCGGAGGGGGTTCTACTACAAATCTGTTAGAGTGCATGCTGGTGTATTCTGTGATCTGTCGTATGTACAAAATACTGAGCAGAAGGGGATTTACACATGGATTACTTTGAACTTAAGCTAAACTCTACTGATTGCAACTGCAAAAGAGAGTTACTGCCCTTGGTGGTCTCTTGCAGACTTCTGCTGTGATAAGTGCCAGAAAACAGGAGTGAGAGCTTCACCAGCCCTTCATGGAAACAGCAGACCTTGAACCTTTAAAACTATCTGTCCTCCTGAACCATTTGAGCTAAAAAAAGCATGAATATAAACAGAGAGGTACTTTCGTTGTTTGTGTAAAAATTCCTTCTCTTCTAAAACACATTTATCTTTCCTTGTTTCTTTCTTTTTTTTTTTTTTTAATCATCTCACTAACTTTGCAGTTTTCTGCAAGAAGAGTTATCTTGAACTCCTAGCAGAACTTGTGAGTCTATAAGAAAACCAACATAAACAAGTGATATTTCTCATGCTAAATAAATAAATACATTTTTATTTCATAATAAGATGTTAAATAAATAAATAAAGTTGCAGAAATTTTAGAATTGGGTTGGAAGACTAATTTCTTCAAAGAAGCAAAAAAAAGAATTCAAATCTCACTAAAGAGTAAGGGTTTTTTTACAGTAAAAACCTTAATATTATATGAATGATTATTTGGACTAGATGACCTTTAAATGCCCCTTCCACCAAAGTATTCTATGAAGGAAATAATGAGAAAAAGGGGGTGGGTGTGTGTGTGTGTGTGTAAGGGATATTAGAAGATAGTCCTAATACCAACTCCTAATTTCTCCTAATGTCAAAGTCCCTTATCAAAATTCAGAGCTGATAAAGCTGTAACTAAAAGAAGTGAAAGGTTACTCTGATAAGTAGGTTTTTAGGTCTTCCTAGCAAAGATGTGAGTTCTGTTAAGAAATATACACATCTTGTACTGCAAGGATGCAGGTTAATGGTTTGCAAAGTGCTTGAGAACTTGGGAGGGAGGCCTCCCAGTAATGCCAAGTACTTTGTTTTACTTCTACCAAATGACAGTTCTCTTCTGTTAGCCGGTTTAGCTATTTGTAGTGTATTCTTTTAAAAATTAGTAATCACAGTGGTAGGTGATGCTGGAATCCTTCATAGGTCTAAAGATCTGTTTTTTTCTGCTCTGTAGACACTCTGCTTCTGTGTGCATCTGTACATGTATCATGTATACCAAACTTAATTGAAAGTGTATTCAAAAAGTGTGGTTAAGTCAATGCTGAAGGAAAATTTAACATGACTGCAGGTAGTTAAGTATCCTTGTAGTAAGTTTACAGACATTTTTCCATAATTGTTCTCCTATTTCAATGAAGGAGCTGCTTTTCTAAAGTGTAAATGTAAATATCTTGGAGGGCCCGAGAGGATCTTTTCAAACCTCTACAGTTCTTGCTCCTAGAAATGAAGAACTTTTAATATAATGTAGAAAGAATCAGAATTTCTTCAAACTTGATCACATAAAAAAAAATTCTGTAAGAGCTCTCAGGTAACCAGGATTAATTAACTGGTACATCAATAGCTTCAGTCAGTTTCTAAAGGGAGATCTATTTCCAATCCCAGGATCATTGTTACTCAGTTCTAACTGCTTCTACCTAAAGTTATAATTAATCTAATTAATCATGGTAAGAACTTGAGGCTATTCCTGTGGAAGATAAGACAGTCTGATTGCTTTGGAGCTTTTTTTCCCATTGACTTGTTCTTTTTTTTGACTGTTACTAGCAGTAAGGAGCAGCCATAAGATATTTTGGTCAAATGGATTGTCACAAGTATAATTTGTCAAAACTGGCTATGCAAAAGGTCACCTCACTGCTCCCCTTCAGAAGCTGTATATAAGGAGGAGTAAAAATAAAAGTACTGCTTTCTCCTTATATCAATTAGCAGAGCTTTGTTGCTCAGGCTGTCACATAATAAATCCACTACCTAAACAACTATCACTTTTCCTTTACTTCTGACATAGCAATGGGTGATTGCCATCTACTGGTCTCTAAACAATAAGGCAGCTTTGCCCAGTGAAACATGGCTCAGTCATGAGTAATCTTGCATTATTGATTAAAAAGAAACCCCATAATAAGTATGAGTTATTCCTCCTTAATATCCTTAGGGTTAATTTTATCCCAGCAATAGCTAAAAGGACTAGAGAAAACTAATATAAGGTAAAGGCCAATGTCAGTGACGAGAACTAGACAAAACATGGACAAGTATTTTGCAATATTTAATTTTAGGTCCTGGGAATGGTATTTGGAACACAGTTAGGAGTTTGGCTTACCTGTCC